TGGGAAGGATTGTGAAGGACCTGCCTAGTATGGGCCAACAGGCCTGCTGCAGTGTTCCTCCTTTCTTATATTCTTAAATCTGGAGACAGAAGAACGGGTGCAGTACAGAAGATGATATTCTTTATTTTCGTAAAAGCGTCTTGGCATACAGGGGACCATTGAAAGTGGGATTTGCGACCTCTGCAAAATTCTTACAGAGGGATTTCCTATCATGAGGTACTGGATGATTTTTAATAGTAAAATTTTTTGCAAATTCAGGGGCCACTTTGGCACTACCTACTTCATGGCCCATAAAATTAACAGCAGACTGGCCAAAGTATGACTTGTATAAATTAACAGTTAAGTGGAAACTGAAAAGTCTCAAAGAGACCCTTAAGCCTAAGCGTATGTTGGTCCCAAGTACCCGACACAACAACAATATCATATAAGTAAGCGACCGTGCCTTCAGGTCCTTTAATAGCCTGATGGATAAGTTTCTGAAATGATGCCGGCGAGTTTTTCTTTCTGAAGGGAGTTACTGTATATTGATAATGACCTCCTGGAATTACGAAGGCCAAAATTTCCTTCGCCTTATCTGTTAAAGGTATCCGATAGTAACCTTTAAGTAGGTCGAGTTTAGACACAAAAGTAGCCTTACTCACAAAGTCGATTACGTCATCCAGACGTAGCAGAGGGTAAGCATCTGAAATAGTGACCTCATTCACCTTACTGTAATAAAGTTGGTAGAATTACCGACAATATGTAAAGTAAAAGGACACAAGTACAACTAATGTAACATTTATTGTGGCAACGTTTCGCTCTCCAGGAGCTTTATCAAGCCATTACAAACAATACATGGACACAGAGGGTATATAAAGGCTCAGAGTGAGGTGTTATACTAGTGAGGTAGCATTTCGATGTTCACTAGTGGTAGTAGTAGTAGTAGTAGTAGTAGTAGTAGTAGTAGTAGTAGTAGTGACAAAAGTAATACAATATGGTAGAGCAAATAATTCGTACATGAGTAAAAGGATATAAAAGCTATTACTTGGGTAACATAAAAATAGGTTGGACAAATATAGACTGGAATGAGGCAGCTTGTTTCAGTGTTCACTCTCTGTGCTGTGTGTAGTATAACAGGAGAGACTATGTGATGGCAGGGTTTACTGTTTTCAGGAGGATTCTTGCTAAGACTTCGGAGATGGTGAAGCTGCCGTTGTTTTGTTTTAATTGTATTCGAAACAGCGATCAGTGCTGATTCGAGGCACTTGCGTCTGCGGAAATTAGTTTCTTTGATCACTAATTGGGCGTCTCTGAATTTCATGAGATGATTGGTGGAATTTCGGTGTTGTACACAGGCGTTGTTCAAGTTATCTTTCCTACATGCGTAAATGTGTTCATTGAGGCGGGTGTCGAGGTTTCTGGCTGTTTCACCTATGTAAATCTTGTCACAGCCTCCACAGGGTATAGTGTAAACTCCTGCATTGACTGGTTCGTGGTGCTTGGATTTTGTCCTGGTTATATCCTTTATTGAAGTGCTAGAAGCGATGGCGACTCTGGTGTTAGCTTGTGAAAGTACTTTTGAGACGTTCAGTGCAACCTGACTGTTGGGAAGAATTATAACTTTGCTGGGAGTGGTGTTGATGAGTGGAGAATTTATGATCTGAAGAGCTCTTTTCTTGCAGTCTTTGATGAAAAAAGAAGGAAAATGTAACTCAGTGAATGTTTGGTGAATGTATGCACACTCCTCGTCAAGAAACTCAGGACTACAAATTCGGTATGCTCTTAGGAAAAACCCGATGATGATGCTTCTTTTGGTCTTGGTATCTTGACTGGAATAGAAGTGTGTGAGATCATTTTTATTGGTGGGTTTCCGATAAACTTGAAATCTTAGGTTGTTGTCTACTTTGTGAATGAGGACGTCGAGGAAAGGTAGCTTGTCATTGGACTCTTCTTCTAGTGTAAACTGTTTACACTATACCCTGTGGAGGCTGTGACAAGATTTACATAGGTGAAACAGCCAGAAACCTCGACACCCGCCTCAATGAACACATTTACGCATGTGGGAACGATAACTTGAACAACGCCTGTGTACAACACCGAAATTCCACCAATCATCTCATGAAATTCAGAGACGCCCAATTAGTGATCAAAGAAACTAATTTCCGCAGACGCAAGTGCCTCGAATCAGCACTGATCGCTGTTTCGAATACAATTAAACAAAACAACGGCAGCTTCACCATCTCCGAAGTCTTAGCAAGAATCCTCCTGAAAACAGTAAACCCTGCCATCACATAGTCTCTCCTGTTATACTACACACAGCACAGAGAGTGAACACTGAAACAAGCTGCCTCATTCCAGTCTATATTTGTCCAACCTATTTTTATGTTACCCAAGTAATAGCTTTTATATCCTTTTACTCATGTACGAATTATTTGCTCTACCATATTGTATTACTTTTGTCACTACTACTACTACTACTACTACTACTACCACCACTAGTGAACATCGAAATGCTACCTCACTAGTATAACACCTCACTCTGAGCCTTTATATACCCTCTGTGTCCATGTATTGTTTGTAATGGCTTGATAAAGCTCCTGGAGAGCGAAACGTTGCCACAATAAATGTCACATTAGTTGCACTTGTGTCCTTTTACTTTACACCTTACTGTAGTCTGTACACATTTGAAAACCTCCATCAGTTTTTTTAACAAGGATGCAAGGTGAAGCCCACGGACTAGATGACTCCTCCACTTACCCATGCTCTGATAGAAATTCTACCTCCTGCTGAAGTAGCCTTTATTTTTCATGGTTAGCTCTGTAGGGGAAGAGTTTAATAGGTTTAGAGTTTCCAGCATTTACATCATGATGCCCTAGTGCACATTTTTTCGGAGCATCCGAAAAGATATCAGGATGGGAATGCAGGAGCGCAGTTAAAGTTGTTACTTGATTCATAGACAGTCCCACCATTAAAGAACTGGGGTCCTTGAGGAGCACAGAATTTGGAAGCTTTACTTAAATGTCAGGAATAGAGTGCAAGGAGTCAGAGTCGTCTACAGATGCAGAAGACAGACTCATTACTGGGACTTTATCTGGAGTATTAAATGCTTTAATTTGATTAATGTGGTATGTTTTACTCTTTGAGGTCTTGTCAAGGGGAGATACCACATAATTTACATCAGATAATTTACGTACAATTTGCATAGGTCCCCTAACTCTAGCTTTTAAGTTGTGACCATGTATAGGTTCGTGTACCAACACCTTGTCTCCTGGATGGAAGGAGCGAAAGTTTGAGTTTCTGTCATACCTCTGTTTCATCGTATTTTGAGCTGCTTTTAAGTTAGCCTTAGCCAACTGATGGGCCACCTACAACCTTGAATAAGGGTTGTAGAGTGTTGTGCTGGCGTACCTCTTCTCCCATCCATCCTTCCTTGAGCACCCGAAGAGGACTTCGTACATTGTGACCAAAGATTAGCTCAAACGGACTGTACCTGTACCTGCACAGTTTCTCTCACTGTGAACAGCGACAAAGGTAGTGATTCATCCCAGTCTGTAGGAAAATGCATGCAAAAAGCTCTTATCATGGTTTTTAATGTTTGATGGAATCTTTCCAAGGCGCCTTGGGACTGAGGATGATAGGCAGTGGAAAAGTTATGAATTATTCTTAGCCTAGTTAATGCTTTCCTAAAAGCTTTGGCAGTAAAATTAGTACTTTGTTCACTCTGAATATACTTAAGAATGCCAAAGCAGGAAATAAACTTAGTTTAGGCTTTAAGAATTGCTTTAGTATTGATACTGCGCTTCGGTATTGCCTCTGGATATCTAGTCACTTTGTCCACAATAGTAAATAAATACTGGTTTCCAGACTTTAGACTTAGGTAATGGACCTACATAATCTATGATTAACATCGGCAGGTGTAGGATAGAGAGGTGCATGTTTAATAGGGTGTCCAGGTTTCCCTATTTGCTGACATTCTCGACAACAAGCCTGGTCTCAGACCGGGCCGCGGGGGCGTTGACCCCAAAACCCTCTCCAGGTAAACTCCAGGTAAACAGCGGATATGATAATTCACATCTTGCCTTAACTTTGGCCAAATAAATTCATGCTTTTAGTAATTCCTAAGTGGCCTCCTAACGAAGAGTTATGAGCCATATTTAGAATTTGTGATCTAAACGTTTTAGGAACTACCAGTCTATCTGTCATTTGCCTTCCCTCCACCTCCTTACGAGTCTCAGTGCAGATTAAGAAGTCATTTTCAATTTCGTATTTGACTGGGTGATCTGAGGGGATTCACCCATGGTTGCCTGAAAAGCGAAATTCAATGAAGGGCCTTTTCGCTGTTCTTTCCGAAATGAGAGTCCCTCAGGCATGGAAACAGAGATATCTGGCAATCCTGCAACCCTGGAATAGGAAGGCCTGGTCTGCGTCTGTTCACTAAATTTACGAGGCCCTGGCCAGTTTTCCTCGTAAAGCAAATTGGCTATTCCGAGACAAAAAATGTCTAAGGATGGGTTAGCATTCTCATCAGATATCCTCTGGGATTTTGCCCGAGTTATGGCCAACATCAGATAAGAATTAGTCATTACAGGTAGTAGAATTAAAGTTATTACCCAGTAATTACACAGCATCTTTCATAGGAAATCCGTCAGAAACACCTACAGTCAAATATCCAGTGTAATATATTTTATGCACATATATTTTATGTAAAAGGACAGAAAATACTGCTCCTCCAAATGCTTCTAAAAGAACTGATGAATGTAATGACGTTTGTTCAGAGAGGAGAAGTACTCTCTCTCTCGTATTAAAGAACAATGTGCCCCAGTATCTCTAATGTTCTCACTTCAGGTTTTTTTTTATTCTCCTGAATGGACACAGCAAGTACTGTAATATGGGGCCATTCCCACTTCTGTTTCTTTTTGATCCATTTCAATAGGAAGATTAGTAATTTCTCCTAATGGTTGGGGCCTAAGTGGGTAATTAGGCTTCACATGGCCGGGTCTGTGGCAAATATAATACGTTACCTCAGGTTTGACTTTGGTTCCCTGCTGATTTTGTGGCTTACGCCACTTTGGATACTGACATGGTGGTTCACCATACTGAGTGGTTTGATGTCGCTCACCCGGTTGACAGTTAGTTGAGTAAAGTGGCTCACCAAGTGGCTTAGTCGGCTGACGTAGTCGTTCACCTTTGTCCTGGCACTTCGTTCTCCAATCAGGAACTCTTCCTTGACGATCTCTGCTCATGCCAGGCTGTTGAGAAAAAAGATAAGACCCCTCAGATAAGGAGCAGTTAGTTCTAAAAGTATCAGCCAACTTGGCTGCCTCCAATGCAGTAGCCAACGAATGATCTTGAAGGAAGACTCAAACCTCTGGTTCAACAGACTCCATCAGGTTTTGTAGATGAATGGTTCTAATTTATGTGTCTAATTTATCAGACTCCATCAGGTTGCCCATCACAATTAACTGTACCAGATCCGAGAAGTTAGTGACACCACTTGCCTTGTACCACTTGGTAAATGCTTTTGTGTGCTGTCTTACAAAGTCAACATAAGACTGACCCAGTTGTCGTTTCCCTAGTTTGAATTCCTTCCTGTACTTAGAAGGAATACATTGATAAATCCCAAGAACCGTGGATTTCACAACCCGTTAGTTGCCAAAATTGTCATTGTCTAACACTGATGTAAATTCCTGTTCTTTTCCAAACAACGCTGTGCGCACAAATGCTGCCCAGTGCACTTCAGGCCACCTCAACGCTCGAGACTGGTTTTCAAATGTCTCAAAAAACTGTTCAAGCTCAGCTTCAACAAAACGAGGAACTAACTGTACTTACTTTTGCAAACTAAAGTCGTTCACAGTTTCCTTAAATTGCCTCCGTTCCTTTTCTCTATCAAACTCCTCCCTAGCAAATGCTCACTGCTCCCTTGTTTGTTCAAGATTGAATTTGGTAAACTCAATTGCCAATGAAGCAGACTCGCCCATAGACATCCCCGATACACCTGCTGCTGCAGAGAATTCTGGTGTTGTGTATCTCCCATTCTACAGGAACCTAGGTGGAAATCTGCGACTAACTACTAATATAGAGGGAGAACGTCAATCTGGTGTGCCATAGTTGCCTCTACTTTCAACTGTGTACAAATATGTCACAAAGCTGTGCATTTTTTGCTAAACCCCCCGCCCTGGGTTTGTAGTTGGGGGGCTCCTTTTTGGGAGTGCGAAAAATTGCGAAAAAATGTAAAGTACCTTTTTCATACCCCAATCACTACCACAGTCACCCCCCATCCTCCAGCACCCCCTATTCACATCTACCCCTACCTTTACCATACTATCCCTCAACCACTTCCCTTATCACCATACCTATCAAACCCCCATTTTAACCCCCTCACCCCAACCCCCATCCCTCACCCTCATACTCACCATCAAACCTCATCATTTTCCCTACTCACCCTCAACCACCATCCTCACAATCATTATCACCATAACCACCCTCCCTCATCCCACTACTCACAAACAACCACTGTCCCTCCCATCCTGCTTCCCCCAACCACAATCCCTACCATCAACCCCCATCCTTTTACTTAGTAAAACCATAACCCCCATCCCCCACCCTCCTATCACCGTCAACCACCATCCTCACCTCACTACTCCCATCAACCCCCATCCCTCCCATCACTATCACCATCAACCATCCTCCCATCACTATCACCTTCAACCACCATATTCCCAACACTACCCCACCATCAACCCTATCTATCACCATCACTACTCACCATCAACCACCTCCTCACCCCAAATACCACCCTCAAACCCCCCATCCTCACTATTTCTTTCAATCAAACCCTTCCCCACCCATATCCCTCAACAAACCCTCCTACCATCACTACTCACCCTCAAAAAAATTCCTCACCACAAATTTCGCCATCAACCACTAATATATCACTACTCACATTAAAAACCACTATCACCCTAACCACCCCTCCCCCACCACATACCCCCTCAACCCCCATCCCCTTTCCCAAATTTACTCACCATCTATCACCATCATATCGCCCTCAAATGCCTTACCTACAGCAATTTTCGCCCTCAACACCTCCTTACCACTGTATCACCTCAACCACCATTTTCTCCTTTTCTACTACCATTAAACCCCGTATCACCCTAAACCCCTTTCCCCAATCAATCTACACACCATCCTACCATCACTACCCCCATCCTCCCAATCATTTCCCTACTTCCACCCTCAACTTCATCCCCAATCAGAATACCGCCATCAATGACTATCCCAAAAGCCACCAAACCCTCATCCTACTCACCCAAACCCTATCCCTCACCATCATTATCACATCAACCCCCTTCCTCACCCTCACTGCTACCATAACCACAACCCCAATCACTATTTACCATCAACCACCATCCTTTACCCTCAACATCACAAGCAACCAAAACCACCATCACTATTCCTCAACCCATCCCTCACCATACATCACACTCCCTCCCTCCCTGACTAAACCCATCAACCATCTTCCCTCACCATCAATGTCTTTCCCTTACTATCATATCATATCAATCATCATCATTTCCCCTCACTAATCAAAAAAACAATATTCCCCTCACTCAAACCCCCATCAATAACCATTTCTATCCTACCCCCCTAACCCTCATCATCAACACATACTCACCATCAACCATCATCACTCAAATCACTACTCACATCAAATCATCCTGCCATCACGACTCACATCCCTGACCATCATACTACCATCCCCCACAAACATAATCACTAAAACAAACCCCTCACTACCTCTCAACCCCCCATTCTTCACCATCACTATCTTTTTCCCACCATACCTCCATCACTCTCACCAACAATCCCTCCCCAGATCCATGCTCACAATCAATCATATCTTCACCATTACTACTACCTCAACCATATCCCCAGAAAAATACTCACATCAACCCCACCCCACCAAACCCCACAACCACCTTCCCCCCCATCAAACCCTCACCCTAAAACCATCACTACTCACCCAAAAATCATTACCCCCCCCATCATATCACCCTCAACCCCATCCCCACCCTCATACTCCCCATCAACCACAACCTCACCATCACTACTCACCATCAACCATACCCCACCATCACTATACCAAAAATTTTACCCCCCACCATCAACTTTTATCCCTCACCTCACTACTCATCATCAACAATCATCCCTCCCACATTTTTAAACCATCAACCCCCGCCCCTACCATCACTACTCACCATCAATCATTCTCTCACCCAACTTTCCCAAAAACATTACCCCCATCACTACTCACCTCAACCACCCTCCCTCCCCATCATACTCACCTCAACCATCGTCCCCCACCTCATACTCACCATCACCCCCCCCCTCTCCCTCACTATCACAACAATCATTACAACCACCACCACTACTCACCACAACAAACATCCCCCCACATACTCCCATCAACCATATCCTTACATAAACTCACCATCAACCATCACCCCCCCTTTCAAACTTGTCATCAACCTTATCCCTCACCTCATTAATCACCATCAACCACCGTACCTCACCATCACTACCACCCTCAAAGATATCCCCCACCATCATTAATCACTCATACTCACCATCAAAAATATCCCCCCCCATCATTAATCACCCTCAGCCATATCCCACCATCATTAATCACATTAACAAACATCCCTCCCCCTCATTAATCACCCTAACCATCATCCTCACCATCATTAAAAACCATCAACCATCATCCCCCACCATATTAATCCCATTAACCATCACCCTTCCATAATTATCGCCATCAACCCTCATCATTTACCTTCTTTTATCATCAACCATCATCCCTCACCCTCACTACTACCCTAACTTCATCCCCCACCCACATACCATATCAAACCCCCCCCTCACCCTCATCCACCATACTACTCCCATAACCACCATCCCTCACATACTATCACCATCATACTTACCATCAGCCCCATCCCTCACCTCACTACTCACCTTTACTACTCATCATTAAACACCCTCCCTCCCCCTCACTACTACCTCAACTCACCTCAACCACCATCCCCCACCCTAATACTCCCTCATACTCTCATAACCATCTCCCTCACCATCACTCTCACCATCATACTCACCCTCAACTCCCATCCCTACATATACTCACCCTCACTACTCACCATCACTACTCACCATTTTTACTCCCATCACTATCCCTCCTACACATCACTATCACCATATTCACCATCACTACTCCCATCACTCTCCCATCAACCACCATCCCCCACCATCACTACTCACCATCATACCACCATCATTCACCACACATCACATCACTATCACCCTCATACTCACCCCTCCCTAATCACTATATAATAGGTTTGATATTAAAATGTTTTTTAAAATTCTTTCTCCCTCGATATTTGCTGTTTTGATGGCGGGGATTACTGGGGGGGGGAGGCGGGGATTATGGGTGGGGGAGGCAGGGGGTTATGGGTGGGGGAGGGAGGGGATTACTGGGTGGGGGAGGCAGGGGATTATGGGGGGGGAGGGGGGATTACGGGGGGGGAGGCAGGGTTATGGGTGGGGGGTGGTGGGGATTTCTGGGGGGGGAGGCAGGGGTTATGGGTGGGGGAGGGGGGATTACTGGGTGGGGGGGAGGGGGGGATTACTGGGTGGGGAGGCGGGGATTATGGGTGGGGAGGGGGAGGGGTTACTGGGGGGGGGGGAGGGGGGTTTCTGGGTGGGGGGGCAGGGGTTCTGGGTGGGGGGGCGGGGATTATGGGTGGGGGGAGGGATTACTGGGTGGGGGAGGAGGGATTACTGGGTGGGGGGGCAGGGGTTACTTGTGGGGAGGCGGGGTTACGGGGGGGGGAGGCAGGGGATTACGGGGGGGGGAGGGGGGGATTTCGGGTGGGGGGGCAGGGATTAAGGGTGGGGGGCGGGGATTATGGGGGGGAGGCAGGGTTACTGGGTGGGGGACAGGGATTCGGGTGGGGGAGGCAGGGATTACTGGGTGGGGGCGGGATTATGGGTGGGGGCAGGGATTACTGGGTGGGGGGCAGGGATTACTGGGGGGGGAGGCAGGGATTACTGGGTGGGGGAGGCAGGGGGTTATGGGTGGGGGGGCGGGGTTACGGGTGGGGGGGAGGGGTTATGGGTGGGGGGGGCAGGATTACTGGGTGGGGAGGCGGGGGTTATGGGTGGGGGGCGGGATTAGGGGGGGGGGAGGCAGGGATTACTGGGTGGGGGGGCAGGGATTTCGGGTGGGGAGGGAGGGGGGTTTCTGGGTGGGGGAGGGGGATTACGGGTGGGGAGGCAGGGATTACGGGGGGAGAGGAGGGATTCCCGGGGGGGGAGGCGGGGTTACTGGGTGGGGGAGGCGGGATTACTGGGTGGGGAGGCAGGGGGTTCTGGGTGGGGGAGGCAGGGATTACTGGGTGGGGAGGCAGGGGTTACTGGTGGGGGGGGGGATTACTGGGTGGGAGGAAAGGGGTTTTTTGGGTGGAGGGGAAGGGATACTGGGTGGGGGAGGGGGATTACTGGGTGGGGGGGGCGGGGGTACTGGGTGGGGGAGGCAGGGATTATGGGGGGAGGAGGCGGGGTTACTGGGGGGAGGAGGGGGTTTTGGATGGGGGAGGAAGGGATTACTGGGTGGGGAGGCGGGGTTATGGGAGGGGGAGGAGGGATTATGGGGGGGAGGGGGAGGGGTTAGGGTGGGGGGGGCAGGGGTTTCAGGGTGGGGGAGGGGGGGTTATGGGTGGGAGGGAGGGTTTCGGGTGGGGGAGGCGGGTTATGGGTGGGGGGGGGGCGGGATTCGGGTGGGGAGGCGGGGATTACTGGGTGGGGGGCAGGGGTTATGGGGGGGGGGCAGGGGTTACTGGGTGGGGAGGCGGGGATTACTGGGTGGGGAGGCGGGTTCTGGGTGGGGGGGCAGGGATTATGGGTGGGGAGGCAGGGATTTGGGTGGGGAGGAGGGGTTTCTGGGGGGGGAGGCAGGGATTACTGGGTGGGGGGGCAGGGATTACTGGGTGGGAGAGGCAGGGTTATAGGTGGGGAGGCAGGGGTTACTGGGTGGGGGGGGCAGGGATTATGGTGGGGGGGGGGCAGGGGTTACCCGGGTGGGGGGGAGGGATTTTGGGGGGGGAGGCAGGGATTATGGGTGGGGAGGAGGGGTTATGGGGGGGGAGGAAGGGGGTTTTGGGTGGGGAGGGAAAGGGGTTACTGGGTGGGGGGGGGCAGGGGTTACTGGGTGGGGGGGGGAGGCAGGGATACTGGGTGGGGGGAGGCAGGGATATGGGCGGAGGAGGGAGGGGGTTTGGGGGGGGAGGCAGGGGTTTTGGATGGGGGGGGAAGGGGTTACTGGGTGGGGGAGGGAGGGATTACTGGGAGGGGGAGGAGGGATTACTGGGTGGGGGGGGCAGGGGGGTTTCGGGTGGGGGAGGCAGGGATTACAGGGTGGGGGAGGGAGGGGTTATGGGTGGGGGAGGAGGGTTTTCGGGGGGGGGGCAGGGGTTATGGGTGGGGGGGGGCAGGGGTTACTGGGTGGGGAGGCAGGGGTTATGGGTGGGGGGGAGGGTTACTGGGTGGGGGAAGGGGGGGATTACTGGGTGGGGGAGGCAGGGATTACTGGGTGGGGAGCCGGGGTTACTGGGGGGGGGAGGCGTGATTACTGGGTGGGGGAGGCAGGGATTCTGGGTGGGGGGGCAAAGATTACTGGGGGGGGGGGGGGGATTACTGGGCGGGAAAGGGAGGGATTACTGGGAGGGGGAGGCAGGGGTTCTGGGTGGGGGGGGGAGGGATTTTTGGGTGGGGGAGGCAGGGTTTTATGTGGGGGGGGAAGGGATTACTGGGGGGGGAGGCAGGGTTACTGTGGGGGAGGCAAAAATTACTGGGCGGGGAGGCAGGGATTACTGGGTGGGGGAGGCAGGGATTTTCTGGGCGGGGAGGCAGGGATTACTGGGTGGGGGAGGCAGGGATTACTGGGCAGGGAGGCCGGGGAGGCAGGGATTACTGGGTGGAGGGAGATGGGGCAGGGGATTACTGGGTGGGGGAGCGAGATTACTGGGTGGGGGAGGCAGGGATTACTGGGCGGGGAGGCAGGGATTACTGGGTGGGGGAGGCAGAGGATTACTGGGTGGGGGAGGCAGGGATTACTGGGTGGGGGAGGCAAGGGATTATGGGGTGGGGGAGGCAAGGATTACTGGGGGGGAGGCAGGGATTACTGGGTGGGGGAGGCAGGGATTACTGGGGGGGAGGCAGGGATTACTGGGTGGGGAGGCAGGGATTACTGGGGGGGAGGCAGGGATTACTGGGTGGGGGAGGCGGGATTACTGGGTGGGGAGGCGGGATTACTGGGCGGGGGAGGCAGGGATTACTGGGACGGGGGAGGCGGGGATTACTGGGTGGGGGAGGCGGGGATTACTGGGCGGAGGCAGGGATTACTGGTGTGGGGGAGGGATTAGTGGACGGGGGAAGCAGGGATTACTGGGCGGCGGAGGCAGGGATTACTGGGTGGGGGAGGCAGGGATTACTGGGCGGCGGAGGCAGGGATTACGGGCGGGGGAGGCAGGGACTACTGGGTGGGGAGGCAGGGATTACTGACGGGTGAGGCAGGGATTACTGGGCGGAGGAGGCAGGGATTACTGGGTGGGGGAGGCAGGGCTTACTTGGTGGGGGAGGCAGGGATTAATGGGTGGGGGACTCAGGGATTACTGGACGGGGGAGGTAGGGATTACTGGGTGAGGGAGGTAAGGATTACTGGGTGGGGGACGCAGGGATTACTGGGTGGGGGAGGCAGGGCTTACTTGGTGGGGGAGGCAGGGATTAATGGGTGGGGGAGGCAGGGATTACTGGGTGCAGGGGAGGCAGGGATTACTGGGCGGAGGAGGCAGGAATTATTGGGCGGGGGGCGGCAGGGATTACTAAGCGGAGGAGGCAGGGATTACTGGGCGGGGGAGGCAGGGATTACTGGGCGGGAGAGACAGGTATTACTGGGCGGCGGAGGCAGCGATTACTGGGCGGGGAAGGTAGGGATTACTGGGTGGGGGGCAGGGATTAGTGGACGGGGGAGGCAGGGATTACTGGGCGGCGGAGGCAGGGATTACTGGGTGGGGGAGGCAGGGATTACTGGGCGGCGGAGGCAGGGATTACCGGGCGGCGGAGGCAGGGATTACTGGGTGGGGAGGCAGAGATTACTGGGCGGGTGAGGCAGGGATTACTGGGCGGAGGAGGCAGGGATTACTGGACGGGGGAGGTAGGGATTACAGGACGGGGGAGGTAGGGATTACTGGGTGGGGGAGGTAAGGATTACTGGGTGGGGAGGCAGGGATTAGTGGGC